AGGAACAAGCTTGGGGAGAGTACTGCAATGAAATGGCTGTGGAGAAAGTCTGTAGATGTGGATGTTTTTTTCATCACAGAATATCACATTACCATCCTCTCATGTGGGTAACTGGGGATCTAGTTAATAAAAGCACCAAAGTCTAATTGTGCAGTGAAAGCAGCAAAAGCCCATTAGTGGGGATGCATTTATTTCAGTACTAACATGTCCAACCTTCAGTATAGTTTTTACTATACATAGGCTATTTATCAAGGCTGTAATTTGTTTATCTCTAATTCAAATACAGCACTTGTCATAGTATTGGGCTCAATGACCCTTATGGGTCCCTTCCAACTAGGGATATTCTATGTTTCTATGATTAGCAAAATAGAGTCGTATACTGATACTGGTTATTCCTCTTTCTATAGAAGAACCATTTGCAATTCTGTGAGCACCTTTATCACAGTAAAGCTCTGTTTATACGAGACATTAGACAAAAACATAAACTTAATGAAGTAAATATTCCAGTATAAAATATTTGTGGAGGCTAGGCTTGGAAAAGCCTTGGGAAACATTCAAACAAAAGCTGCTTAATGTTAAGGACAACATCCTATACATCCCACTGGTGCAAGCCATAAAATGCAAGAAAGCAAGGAGTTAAGGTACACAGTTCACTCACCAGTTCCTCTTCCCAGCTGTAACTACTTCCTTTCCATCATTTACATTTCTCATATCACTTTACTCATTCTGAGCACCCAAGGCACAGTCTGGCATCTGGCTGCACATTTGTTACATCAGCATGCAGATCCTCATTTCATTTCCCTAATTTCTGTATTAGGATTTAATACAGAATTCAGACAACTACATCCACAGACTACCCGCTCTCATGTTTTCCTAACAAGTTCAAAGAAAGCAAGCATATCTGATAGACATCACCTGCAGGCTGACAGAGTACCTTGCTGCTATATACAGAGAACCAGAACGCATTGTGCGACTGTAACATTTGGAAACCATCTCAAGCACATGGTGGTCATCAGACCACATCATGAGATCACAAGTCAACAGGGTCTGATCACTAGACTGATGCTGGTAACTCAATAGGGGGTACAGATCCATGGCTTGTGGTTGGGGTTGATTAAAGGAACTGAGGTTTTGAAGGGGGAACTGATGATTGGTGTGTGGAAAAGCTGAGTGACTCGTACTCTAAATCTTGTGCTTTCTACAGTGTAAACCACCAAACTGCAGTCTAGAAAGCCTGGGTCTAGGTTAACAGTAATTTGTGGATGATGGTCATCTTTCATTCAGACAGGTATGAGTAACACATTACATTCCTTGTCAAGAAGAACTGAAGAACATAGAAATGACTGGCACTGTCCCAAGCAAGGTAGATTTTTTTTTCATTCTTATTATAAACCCCCAACTTCTTTGAATTTAAAGTGTCAGCTGCATAGTTCTGGTGCACATCTGAAGGACCATCTCAGTAACTCCCAGTTTAACACTGCAAAACCAAGGGATGCAGAGGAGGAAAAGGTAAGATCGAGGCTGCCCGTCCAAGTCTGCCTTGCTACATTTGCTCCCTCCTTACTGTGCACTGTAGTACAGTAATGCAGTCACAATATCTGGTCTTGTCCCAGCAAAGCCCAGATGGATGGACAAGAGGGGACAGCTTTTTGGTACTTGTTCCATAATAGCCCTAGGCCTTCACTGCTGTACACCTTCCAGGCCTGTCATGAAGAAAGTTAGTAGTTTCATCCCCAGCTTTCCAAGGATGTTCATCACCATGTTATCCATGCCTATACATGCCAGGACACTCCTACAGGAGGGAAAAGACCCTCAGTGCTGTGGCTGTGCATATATGTCTGTGGAATTACGTGCATAGGAGAGAAAGGTCACGCCAGACCTCTGGTTTTGTCAACTCTCCTTGTAATCCTGCTGGCCAGAGCCAGCACCATTTCTGCTACATCCCTGCCTGGACCAAACTTATTAAATTCCTTTCCCTGCAACTGTCTACTTTGATTCTTGCACATCGTGCGCCCTCCACAAGAAGAGAGGCAAGACTCCTCCAGACACCAGTCTCCTTTAGACACTTCCATCTTGTGCGTTGAACAAGGAAAGGATTTTACGTAGGAAAAAACAGTGACCCCATGACTAAGGCTGCAACTTGCTCATTTCTGCAAGGTGGTTTATGACTGGAGTTGGAGCAGCATGTGCCAGAGCTCCCAAGCACATAGCCCAGAGGAAGGCGGAGAACACCTTTGTCTTACCCTTGCATATTCATACCCGCTATGAACAATGTGTAATGCTCACTAAGCCTAGATGGCAATAAAACCCCTGGGGGGAGGTGGCACACTTTGAAAGATCATTAACTCACAAAACCAGCCAGTGTAAAGTTAATCCTGGAAAGGAAAACATTAAAAAAAAGCTGCCGAACCCAAACCTCCTGGTCCTTATCTTCCAGGCTTTTCAAGTGTAAAATTGCACTGGCCTCTGGCTGTTTCAAGACTGCATGAGTCATATCCGTCCTAACTGGAATACTTAAATTGAGCTTGTTCAGCATTTGTTACGATGGAAGGAAGTTAGTAATAATAGGAAATGGAAAGCACAGGTCTTGTTTTTTCAAACCCGTGTACTTCACTGTTTTCTTAAGGGGTCCGAAGCAAACACATTTGTCATCATAGTGGTATGCTTACTTTTGCTAGCCTGAATAACCTGGATAATAGCAAGAAATACACTTTATCTGTGTATCAGACGGTATCTGTGTAGCTGTATGGATTTCGCAACTTCTTTTGTCATCTGAGCCTTTCACATGTCTTTCCTTCCCTTCTGACCACTGGTGAATTGCCAGCAAGAGCCTCAGACTGCACTGCTGTTTTCCTGAATACAGCCGCAGTTGTCACAGGCTGGAGTCATAAGTTATAAAATTGAACCTTTCATTGGCTGAACTCAAAAGCTGAAACTACCTTCTAAGCCCATGGGTGAAATATGGTGTAAAAACACCTTTGAAATAGTTGTATAGAACTCTTTTTTATAGTGCTACGCTTACAATGGACCTATTTGCAGACCAGTTTAAGATCTCTCCTTAAGTACTGGAAGGATAGAAATCATATTGTCTATTTGAAAATTACAGCATAAATTTGATGTTTTCTTAAAAAACTTAATTTCAGCTATCGAGTCAGCAGAGCTACACAGTTTGAGAAGTTCAGCATGTCAAAATTGGAAATTTATTGAATATGAAATGTTTATCATTATTACACTCTTGATAAAAAAAATCAAGAGGTGGATGATAGATACAGCAGTTACCTCTCAGAAGGCTGTTACAGCCATTTTTACTCTTTGCAACACTTGAATCACTGTCTGGGTTATCTTGAGTTTTCTGCATTTTTATTTCACTTGCCTATGAATATTTTTGGAAAATTCCGTTTGTCAGCACTCCTGTCTTTGAATCCCATTTCCCCTGATGTTTTTTTTTTAATTGTTTTCATGAGACACTTTCTCTTCCTTGGTAGTTCTGTATCAGTCGTACTCATTTGGACTGTGATGCAATTTGTGTGAGTCACTATTCTCAGGCACATGAGCTGGCAGGCAAATATATTGATAAAAAGCAGGTGGTTTTTTTTTCACCAGAACTAAAAGTAGGGGGGAAAACTGACTGCAAATAGTCACAGTCCAGATTAAATACAAATCTATGACTTTGGGATGTTTTAAGAGTTCCCTATTTGTCCAGTCTGGTAGCTGGACAACACCATGAATTCAGTGTCTGTACACCTGTAAAAATGTTTCCTGAAGACTTCCATACTGGTCAGTATCTACCAGTTAGGAAGACCGTATTCCCTGGCTACTCTTTAATTGCTCTGTGTCACAAACAAGGCCCAGCTTTCCTTCTCCACACGACTGTGAAGAAGCAAAACCCTTAGGTTTTTCTCTGAGATTCGATCTGTTATTATTCTGACATGTAAAGCATAATGGCTGCACTTAAATAGAAAATTTTAAGGTGAACACAGTTGTTTGTAAGTAAGTAACATTCTGCTGTCTGATCCACGTCCATCCAAAGCCAGTCTGTTAATGAAACAATTTTATGTATTTTGTACAGTTTTCAAGTAATTCACTGAAATCATCAGATCGCCTGACATTTTCAATGCTAGATGGAAAAAACTCTGACTAAAATGACAAATTAGTTTTTAAAATCAGAATCCTCTTGTTCAAAACACATAAACACAGACAAAACTAACACATCCTGGATTCTGCAGTGACCTGTGCACAAAGCAAAGCTCTGAAGTCTGTACATGGTGTTTCCCATCAGTGCAAAACTCAGAAAAGGCTTTTCCAGCATTCCCAGGCTTGACATCCCAAGTGCATTTTATTCATTATGTAGTTTTTCTCTTCAACTTTCACAAGCTATAGTGAAAACTGGACCAATGGAAGAGGAATAAATACAGTGGTACACTGCCTGCAAAGCATCCCAGCAGAAAGCACGTGCCTCAGATTGGGGATTTCCCTTTGTGTCTCTGCAGTGGCCACGGTAAGGTAGTAAGCAGTGCAGGGCATCTACACAGCCCCTGTGCCAGTGGCTCAGGAGGAGAAGTGAAGACAAGGCCATCCTCTCCTGCTGCCTCCTTATACTCTCCTACTGCAATGTCAGGTGCTGGTAGCAACGCGGAGCCTGTTCTCATGCCTGTGCTGCAGGGAAAACTGTAGGTAGTTACCACAGAGTTAAAAAGGGCAGCTTATATTTCTTATTGTCCCCTTTGCTGCCAGAATTACTGGGGAACATTGTGGCGCCAAAAGACTTCCCCAGAAATTGTTCTGATTAACATAAAATGCCACTTTTATAATAGTTTAGTGCTAATAATCAAAGCTAAAGTTCTGGCAGAAATCTTAAGTTCATAGTTTTCAATTACTAAGGCACATTTCAGGATTAACAACACATCAAGTTCAATTCCAACCTCATGAAGATGTAACAAATGCCACTGCCAAGCAGAGTTAAAAATACAGGGTGATTTAATAATATTCAGAACATAAAATGGCTTTTCCATATCCACTTTTAATGAAAAAAATACTGTATGAATAGAAATGGAAGTATAACAAAGAAATTTCAGTTGATCTAAGAAAATACAGGGATAAACAGAGCAAATAAGATTAACATTTTACTTCCAGGTTATTTGTATATGATAGAACTCCTGTCCCTACTTACAGCCATTTATGTTTCAAAACAGGCCATAAAATAAGAACAAAACATCCTCACAGTATTTTTGCAGACATATTCTCACTTGAAACTATGATGGTAGTATTCTTATGTTAATTTCTTGCATGCCCAAAAGTACAATAAAAAGACTCTCGGCTACCTTTATGCTCAAGGAAAGAATTTCTGACCTCATTAGTTTCCTTCTAATTTCATTACTTGCAAATTATTACTGTCAGTACATGCATTTGATAAAAATAATTATGTTACTTCAATTCTTAACGTGCAATTCCTGAGATTTTACACAGCAATGTAAAGCTGACATGGGATAATGAAGTATAGTTTTTACCAGTGAGGAGACCTGTTTTAATATAACTTCCAAACATTTCAGGCATGAGGAAAATAATTAAAAAAATCTTCACCAAACTAAAATTAACATACATGTATTTCATATATTAACATTGTCCTTGTTGTATGCCTTAGTATGGTCCAAATTTCCAACACAGAGACTATTTATATCATTTTCTAGTGTGTCCATATCTTCTTAAATTGGAAGAAATATGTTTAGAAAAGAAACTTGATCTACTAGAACATATAATGGGGATAGATTAACTTCAATTATGTTACTTGAAATAAAATATCCATTATATAATGGATGAAATATCCATTATATTAAGCTACTGGATGGCAAGCATTAAATCAAATATAGACTTCTACATACTCTGTATCTGTAGTAAAGTATTATAACATATTAAACAGACCTTTATTTTAAAATCTCTTTCCAGCACAGGACCAATCCTGTATTAACTGCCTCACATAAACTAATTGAGAGTTATGAGGACCCCTGTCTCTTTTGGTACTGTATTCTGAGCTTTTCCAGTTGCTCTACACACTGTGTCTGGGCCAGCTTCAGTGTTCGGTTCTCCTCTGTCAGTTCTGCATACTCCTTGGCCAGCTGAGCAGCATCCATGCTTTCTTTTTCCACTTGTTCCAGCCTGGCAATCAGCTCCTTTCTGAGGATTACAAAAAAAAAACAAAACCCCAGAGATTAAAAATGGCAGTACGCAAGTATTTGGCATCATGTGTTAGGTTAAAGCTGGGCTATAGGTTGTTAACATGCTATTTCTTGAGTTCCTGTGAAATAAAGACCTAGAAAATTAATTTATTAAAAGCCTACCTTTCTCTTTAAAAAAACGAGCTGCCAAAATCTCTGACAGGTTTGCTGTTCAGTGACCAAACCTGCAAGATGCTAAGATACCTTCAAGTACCTCTAACTTCAGTAATAGCTGAACATGCAGTTCATGGGGGGAGAATCAAGTTCCTGGAAACCTCATGCTAACATTTAGCCTGAAGAATAACAGGTAATTTTTTTCTCAATACCAAACAATGTGTTTGTTTTCTGTTGTTTTTTTTTGTTGTTTTTTTTTTTTTTTTTTGTTTGGTTTTTGTTTTGTTAGTTATATTTGTCAGTAAATTCTCTGACGTACGCCTGGTTTCCTACTCTCTGCTACAAGAAAAAATAGTAAATAGTAGGCACATGAGCCTGAACTACATACATTGTTTCCATAATGTGCTTATGCTCAGACCTGTTTATGCTGAAGAAGAGGGATACTGCTGCAAACCTGACCCCTCCTGGTCTTTCTAAGAGCAGACGCAGGATTCAAGCTGTTACTTCTTTCTGGAGGGAGTCACACAGTGCCCTGTATTCCCAGAGCTGGGCAGGAGCTGCAGTCTCCTGTATAGTATCAACTGAAATTACCTCAGCACAAATTAAGATAAAAGAGGTCTTAAAACACACTGAAGGCATGAGTAACTCACAGGGTATCTAATCGCTCTCCACTTAGTTACCCAGCAGGCTGGCCTGGCCTCTGCTTTCTTTCCCCTGAAAGTCAAATCATTTATTCACCCTTGCTACAGGAAATCTCTTCTAAAAGGTTCTCAGTTCTTTTGATCATTCTATCTCAGAGATTAGTTAATCTTTAACTGTTCATAGCCCTCTGACTTTATGGCTCAGTCATGTCAAAACAATACTTATAGATCATCAGTGGGAAGATGTAATGCCTTCAAAGTGGATAGCTTTTGTCACAGTCTTTAAAGGAGCCTTCTTGTCAGGCTAGACCAGTGATTTAAGACGGGAAATTCCTATGGCTTAGCAATTCTATCACTACATGTCAGAGTATTCATGAAATGATAACATTTCAGTATTTGCTGATCACTTACATTACTTAGAGCTGCAAAACTACCAAACTACCAGTTACAGCAGCAAAACTATAAGCACGCAGGTTTTCAAAAACATTTCTATTTGGTCTTCTTTTAGAATCCGTTTGATCTTCCTCAGTTTGATGTTCCTCTGTCTTTACTATAGCTGTAAGTGACTGCACAGTTTTCCCCTAGTTTACCTGACTGTTCACAAAGCTCGTGCAGTTCAAGGAGTCAAGTTAGCAGAGAGCCCTGGCACACTCATTTCTCCTGCATTTCCCATTAACAAAAAAAAAAAAAAAAAAAAATTAGCAGCCATTATAGCAATTTTAAATCATCCAAAAGTTGCAGTGTATAGAACTCCCCCCCCCAGGTAACTAAATACGTTGGCTTTGTTTTATACCACTGGTGTACTGTATAGGAGCTATGCTGCAGCAAAGCTCTTCTGTTTCCTTTCATCAGGCTCTTGAGAGAAAACATCAAGAGCATATTTTTGTTCAGCAGAATTCTATTAGCATTTGGTCCATTAGCTATAAAAATTTTAAAAGCAGCATTTCATTCCTCTTCATTGGGCCATACAAGATCAACCAATTTTTCAAATTGGCTAAGATGAACTTATCTTGCTAGACAGCTCATATTAATGGGACTATAGGCCACAAAGGACTACTTGCATGTATGCTTTAGAGAGTGAGAAATGTATTTAATGACAATAAGACTTTACAAGTGTGGCATCTTTAATCACTTCAGTCTCTTAGGGCTTCCTCTAGAAGATTTCTGTCTCTTGGGAGCAAAAGAGAGCTTAGCAGTATTTCTTTGGTATTACTCTACTGGTGCAATGCTGGACTGAAGGATTAAATTAAACTCTTCCAAATTACAGACTGTTGACTCAGAAGTGTCCAAACAAATTAATTCAGAATCATTCTTCATTTTCTTACCCTTTAGGAGGTTCTTAAAGGGAGATGCAGTAAAAATATTAAGAAGCAATCAGCATCTTAAAAGCAGGTAAACCTTTTCCACAGGGACTTTTAGTAAAGAATTAAAAGAAAGGTATTAACTACTACATTTGGACTTGAGCCAGGAGTGGCACAGACAGACAACATGCAAACTCAGACAGCTCTATTAATGAGTGTCAGTCCTCATTTGATAAAATTAAGCTATATGCAGGCATGGCTTTTGTGCTGCTCTCTAGTAATACCCAAGCAGCACAGATAACATTTTTTTTCCCTTGGATTTAGCTTTTGTATTAAACAAAATATAAATGCATTAAAACCAAAATATACCCATTTCTGTAGTCCACAGTCTAGGACTTCCCTCGTAGAAAAGTTTCCTTGCACTGAGGTAGTAAAATTGCCCGCTTCTGAGTCAGCAGAACCTACTTATTCCCTTCCCATCAGGATCAACACCTGTTTATAGGGTAGGGTGATGTTTCAGGCGAATACTGTCAGCCTGCCACAGAGATCTAAAATTAGAGTACCAGGGAATTGCTAAATGTTATGAATGGTATGGTTTACGAAGCTCACAAAAGGATGAAGACAGTAACTAACATTTGCTTCTGATCTAATGCAGGATTTGAACTTAGCTTCCAGAGGTTAAAGAACACCATACTAAGCTCTTGCACCATCTAGCCTTTGTTATGGATGCTTAATAAATAAATCTAGTACTGTGGAATCTGTGTTTCCTGTTAATGGTTACCCTGAGTTTAAATACTAACAGCATTCATAAGGTATTTTCTAAAATGGTGCTGAGGTACTTGAAGCTTCAGGACAATCTCTAATATACAGTTTAAATGTTCTTTCTCAGGGAGGGGTTTAGGTGGGAAGAACACAAGTGTGATTTGCATCATAAAGCAATAAATCACGAGCCACATTAGAGCAGAAGAAAAACCCAGCATGGTCTTTGGGAAATAATTTCTCTTGTCCTGGCCTTAATGACTGACCATGCAGAGAACAGAGTTCCCTTACAGAAATATTCACAATGAATATATATCAAGAAAAATGACAGACAAAGCAGATAAACCTGTCTGAAGACAAGTGTATTTGGACATCAAGAAAAACTGCTTCAACAGTGCAAAGAGGCACACTTGTCTTTCCTCCATTGTGAACAACATATTCAGAATCATGCATCTCTGGTACTACACATTTCTTCCCAGCTAACAAGTGTCTGTGTGTTCTGGTGGGCATAAGATCATTTATTCTTCCCACATCTGACATGGCTTTCAAATTAGGAGGAATCGTGAAACCATGTAACATAACTGCTGTCTAAGAAGACTGTTTTTGTGTTCAAAGTCTATAATTAATTTTTAAAACAAGCAGACAGCCTGTTTTAATGTAAATTAAGGCCCTTGTTCTCATGGGTGACTTCAACCACCCTGACATCTGTTGGAAGGACGGTATGGCCCGGCACAAGCAATCCAGGAGGTTCCTCGATTATGTAGAAGACAACTTCCTTCTGCAAGTAATAGAGGAGACAACAAGGAGAGGTGCCATGCTTGACCTCATGCTCACCAACAGGGAAGGGCTTGTTGGAAATGTGACTCTCCAGGGCAGCCTTGGATGCAGCGATCACAAGATGCTCGAATTTGAGATCCTCAGGACAGTGAGAAGAGCGTGCAGCAAGCTCACTGCCCTGGACTTCAAAAGAGCAGACTTTGGCCTCTTCAGGAACCTGCTTCGGAAGGTTCCATGGGATACAGCCCTGGAGGGCAGAGGGGCCCAAGACTCTTGGTTGATATTCAAGGATCACCTGCTACAAGCTCAGGAGTGTTGCATCCCAACTAGAAGGCAGTGCAGCAGGAGGGCCAGGAGACCTCCTTGGATGGATAAGGAGCTCCTGAGGAAAATTCAATTGAAAAAAGAGGCTTATAATAAGTGGAAGCAAGGACAGGTGGCATGGGAAGAGTACAGGGATGTTGCCCGGGAAGCTAGGGACCAGGTTGGGAAAGCTAAGGCTCAGTTAGAATTAAACTTAGCTAGAGGTATTAAAGATAACAGGAAGGGATTCTACAGGTACATAGCAAATAAAAAACAGACTAGGGAGAACGTAGGCCCCCTCAGGAAGCCCTCAGGAGAACTGGCTACACAGGATTTGGAGAAGGCTGAGGTTCTGAATGGCTTCTTTGCCTCGGTCTTCACTGGCAAAGGCTCTGACCAAACCACCCAAGTCTTGGAAGGCAGATGCAGGGACTGTGAGAATGAAGACCTTGGGCCCACTGTAGGAGAGGAACTGGTTCGAGACCATCTTAAAAATCTGAACGTGCACAAGTCCATGGGTCCTGATGAAATCCATCTGCGGGTCCTGAAGGAGCTGGCGAATGAAGTTGCGAAGCCGCTGGCCATCATATTTAAGAAATCCTGGCAGTCAGGTGAAGTTCCCGATGACTGGAAAAAGGGAAATATAACCCCCATTTTCAAGAAGGGGAAAATGGATGACCCGGGGAGTTACAGACCAGTCAGTCTCACCTCTGTGCCTGGCAAAATCTTGGAGCAGATTCTCCTGGAAGGCATGCTAAGGCACATGAAAATCAACAAGGTGCTTGGTGACAGCCAGCATGGCTTCACTAAGGGGAAATCCTGCCTGACCAATTTGGTGGCCTTCTATGATGGGGCTACAGAACTGATGGACAGGGGTAGAGCAGCTGATGTCATCTACCTGGACTTGTGCAAAAAGTGTTAGACACTGTCCCACACGACATCCTTGTCTCTAAATTGGAGAGACACAGTTTGATGGATGGACCACTTGGTGGATAAAGATCTGGCTGGATGGCCACACACAAAGAGTTGTGGTGAATGGCTCAGTGTCTGGCTGGAGACCAGTA